GAAAAAGGGCAGTGTGTAACTTAAGAAAGTGAAAAGTTCCCATGGAAGTGGTGTTTAAACTAGTCAATGGTTGACCCTGGACAAATTAGACATTGGAGTTCTTTTTAAACAATAAATCATTTTAAGGAAGGTTTCTAATGTATTATGGTCTTACTTCCTTATTGTTGCTTGAATATATTGGTCTCAAAATGTGATGGTAATGTATGGTTTCATCTTCCTATGAGTACATAATCTTTGTATCCGAGTCTCTTATTTGTATGTATATATGAAGACACTATGCATGTAGCCAGCGGAATAGCTTGTCTTTTGGAAGCTTTTTCCTGCTGCTATGAGTATAATGTTTAACTTGTAATTCTAAATAAAAAAATGTGCTGAAGTGGACATTAGTTACAGTCAAAAATTTTATGACACTGCCACTCTGCTAGGGTGCACCTATCGGCCTTGTAGTTTTAGATCAGATGTGACTGGAATGTTTTAGGATTTCTGGGAAACAAGACTGCTTTTCTACTATTGGTACCCTGAAAAGTCTCTTGCACACACTCTTCCTCTCAACACCCCCCTCCGCCCTACACACACACACACACACACACACGTTCATTCAAAGATATGTTGAATATGGATACACACAATATTATGAAATGGTAGAAAGACTTGCAACTGCAAGCATATGTGTTTTATTAAAGAATTCTGAGCAGCTAACTATCTTAGACATTCTATGTTTGCTTACATCTTTCATAGGATCTAATGCCATTCCTTTAATTTCTTTCTTTGATTACCTACCTCCGAGCAGCCTAGTTGATTGCATGTGTCTCCAACTCTACTCATATTTCAATTTTATTGTTACAGCGTCAACCAGAGAAGGCAGAACCAGATTTTGCTAGTTGCAAAACCAATATGTGAAACTGGTGTTTTCACCAGACAGCTTTGAGGTTTGTCATCCGAAGCATTATTTATCTCTACTTTTGATTGAACAAAGGAGTTCTGTGAGAACTTTGTAGACTTGTATGACCTTGGAACGTCAGCTCCATGATTGTCACTGCTGTTTTCAGCAATTTACTTATTCAGGAACTTCATTTAGATTTTAGCCCTTTGATTTTTGCTTCCCAGCCTATTCACTGTGAATTACTTCAGTCCTGATGACCCCATTCACTCCTTCCCTCTCCTCATTTGGATAAATGAAGGAATTAAAGCAAAAAATAAAATAAATGTCTTTGCTAACCCTTCCTTCCCTCACCTCCCCTTCCCTTCCCTCATTTGGTTAAATGAAGGAATTAAAGCGAAAAATAAAATAAATGTCTTCCCTAACCCTTCCTCCCCTCACCTCCCCTTCCCTCCCCTCATTTGGTTAAATGAAGGAATTAAAGCGAAAAATAAAATAAATGTCTTCCCTAACCCTTCCTCCCCTCTAATTTTACGATAATAATCAAATAAAGAAACTGCTTCCCTTTTTCTTTTCTGCCCTTTAACCAAACATGTCTGAAGCCTGAAAGCCTTTTGCTCAAACTGGACGGAGCCTGTATGCAAAGCAAGAATAAGCCCATCATTATCTGGACTGATTCTTCCCTGAAACTCAGTCCTGTGGTGGTGTGGTGGAGAGGACCCGACCCTGCCGTCCTCAATCCCCACCTCGGCCCAAATGTCCTAAATTAAATCCGGACTGTACTCCAGGACGGGCAGATAAGATAACCTGATAAATATATGTCGGTCAAAATCAAGCTCTCTTTAATAGTCTATATGTTTCTCTGCACATAATACCATAACCGGTGTATGAATTGAGAATTCTTTAGGGACATTGGGATTTGAGTGGGGCAATATCGAGGTGGCTAGGGCTCGCTGCTAGTCATAGCCTACAACTCATCAGATCTCGTTACACCAAAAATTTTTTTTATCAAGGCTCGGATCAAAGCTTCTCAACTCGTAGTTGACCTTTGGGTTAATATGTTAGTACAAGAAAATGGTATTGAATTCCCGATTCTCATCTCATTCAACGTGCATCATGATACATAGAAATGAGAATTTAGTCAATTTACTATGATCTAATGGTGTTATTATAGAAATGACTATCATCACTAGACCAATGAATATTGGGATCTTGTTGTGGCACTTCTCTTCCCATTTCTTTATTTCTTTGGAGCCTGCATAGTCGTTGGCTGAAAAAGAAAGAGCCTATTTGGTCAATTAGGTCATAGCATTTATGGGCTTTGTGTGAATAATAATAGATCTCGAATTTAATTTTCCCAATCTTTTTTGACTTATCTAATCAAATAGATTAAGAGTAGTATTACGTTTCATGGGTTACTTAGTAAGTGTATTCAATATCTTAATAATAATTAACATTTGAATCATAATTTTGTAATGTTACAATTTTTCATCCCCAACCCTCAAATTGTACCTATTCCAAAAAAAGAAAAAAAAGAAGACATATTAAGGGCAGTTTGGGTACTGAAACATATATCAAAATAATTCTAATAAAATTCCTTTTTATAGCTAATTTGCAATTAACACATTGAGTTGATTTAAGTGGGGGTACACAATGATGTAAAATCTTGTTGGAAATATAAGGGTTAAGTTCTTTCATTGTCATTTGTATAAAAATAATTTTAATGGGATATACGTTTACAAGTGGATAAAATGATTTGTATGTACTTATACCAGTTGTCATAATTATTAGTCTGAATATCCATATTATCTGTGGAAAAAATACAAATTGGACATTGCCTTATTTTCTCTTTAGTTTAGATTTAAGTGACAAATCTCCAATGATAATCAACGAAAGTGTTGCATATATATTGTCTATGGAATTGTCAATTTTCAAAGAATATGGAACTGACATTCCAAAGAGAATATGCCCAGCAGATAATTCGACCCCCTTATTTTGCTGTTAGCCAATTGTTATCAAATCTTGGATCAAAGAATCTTACCTCACAGTTGACCGGAGGGTTATTATGTTAGTGCAAGAAATAATGGTATCGAGCTCCAAATACTCATCGCTTTCGATGTTTAATATGATACATAGAAATGAGAATTTACTGTGATCTAATGTTGTTATTATAGAAATGACTACCAATATGACTATACTAATGAATTTTGGGATCTGATGCTGCAACACTTCAATTCTTAAATCTTCATTTCTTTGGAGCCCTGCATGGTCGTTGGCCGAAGATAAAAGAGCCTATTTGGTCAATTAGGTCACAGCATTAATTTATGGGCCCTGTGTGAACATGAACACAGATCTTGGAATCTAACTTTCTCAGCCTTTTTTGACCTAATATATAATTTGTTCTGTGAGAATATGTTGAGGCAATACCACCTTTCCCGATGGAGTAACACATGCATGTATAAAGTGCAGTTGGTACAATACCAAGTAATACCGTAAGTTTATAATCAAGATGTGGCATGTATGATTAACTTTTTTTTGTTAATTGATCGGCCTGTAATGTTATATATTTCATTCATTTAATCAAATGTTCTTATTATAATTAAGTTTACAATTTTATGTGATATTATAACTATAATATTACTATAAATATAAGTTTGAGTCCCTTCATAGTCATTTATATAAAAATAATTTTAATGGGCCACAAACGTGTACATGCGTATAGAATGGTTGGTTGTATCGTGCCAGTAGTCAATAGCTAATTGGACTTTGCCTTATTTTCTGTTTTTAGTTTAGATATAAGTGAAAAATCTCCAATGACATATGAAGAAATTAAGTGTTGCATATATATTGTCTATGGAACTGGCATTTCAAATTAAGCATATGCTGCATGGATATGCCCAGCAAATAATTTGACCCCCCTAATTATTTTGCTGTTAGCCACTTTTTTAAAAAATCCATCCATTGTTATTCCAAATTTGCAATGTAGATTTAAATCCAAAATGGAACTTACAATTTAGTAAATTCTAACAATTTGTATGCTATTCAGTATAGGAAATGACCTCTATATTTAATTTTGCAATCTCTTCTTTGTCATCAGGAGAAGAGTTCTATATATATATATATAATATATGAGATACGTGAGGATGAAGTCAGGAATACGCCCTGCACGGCATATTACATTACCGTATTGCTTGTTGATTGCTTATACCTTGAATCTTGTATTGCCTATAAACCTCGTTTTCGTAAAAATCAAAAAAATTCCAAGCCATACTAACAAAAATGAATTAAATAACTGTATGGCTGTTTTCTTGGCAATGGAATTAAACTTAATTAGAGTAATCTACAAGATACAAGCATGATTATGTTACAAAAAAAAAAATGTTAATCCCATGTTTCTCTGCCTATGTGTCTCCCGGTTGGCTTGACTTTCACTTCATTGTCACATGGTCATATGATAATCTCTGATCGATCATCCCAAAAATTTGCTGTGCTAACCCCTAGCTGACACCTATGTTAACCCGACCTAGATGAACTGTAAATAATAGCAAATGTATGATTATCTAATAATATTTCAAAGAGAATGACTTAAACACTAGATGGCACCGGCTTAATTTCATCTTCAATTTTTCTCGGGAAGTTCTTATCTTCGTAATCTTTAAGCCAGCTTTATACATGTTCTTCAACCAGACGGGTACTCGGCTTTTATTGTGTTTTCTGCTCTTTTCCTCGGGGTAAAAATGAGATCATTAAATATTTAAATATTGCTGCTAGGTTTGATTTAAATATACATAATTATTGTGATACCTTTCGATTTAACAAACTCATTAGAAAATAATATTTTAAATTTTAAATTTAAGATAATTTTTTTTTTCAAATATAGATTTTAATAATTGAATTGGTAGTTATTAACAGGTGTGTTAAATTAAAATATGTATAAATTATTATTTTTTAAATATTTAGTTAGGTAATAATTGATAGCTAATAACTAACATATATATATAACCCTAATTATAAGGTAAAAACTTTTTAATTTTTGTTAAGCTTTCCTTATTAAATATTTTTACTTTTCACCAAAGTCATGTGAGGACGAAAGCGCAGCAACTCCATAATTGATAAAAAAAAAGAACAAAAGCACAGAACACTAGTAACACTAAATCCATAATTCAACGGTTTTACAAATTGAAGAGAAGCTTAATCCATGATTTACTTCGTTTTAAACTTTAAAGTAGATTTATAACTATTTTATATAAATTCATAATTCAACAAATTTTACAAATACTTCAATTATAAAAAAATAAAATAAAATAAAATACTTCATCACTTCTACCCATACAATGACTACCTATATATGCAACAATTATGCTATATTTCAAGTACAATAAAACGTTATGTAATATGAATTATATCAAATTACCAAAATTAATTATTAAATGATAAAAAAATCTCCTAAAAATAAATATTAGTCTCCATTCAATAATTAATGTCTAATAATTCGACTTACAAAATACCAAATTCTTTTATTAGAATATGCATGTAGTCCCTTAGTTTACTAAATTTGAAGTTTTTAACCCCTTCTCTTATATAATGAAAATTTTAATCTTTAAACTTAAATATTTAAAGATTTTAGCTCCTAAATTAGCAAAATGCATTAACTCTCTATTAAAGTAAAAATAAAATATTTATTAAATCAATTCTCAAAAATTGAAAATATAATAATTTAATTCTAAAAGTTTAAAAATTAAAAACATTAGTAAACTAAAAAGAATTAATATGGCTTTCTTACATACACTAAAATAGTATTAAATATTTATAATTAAATCGAGCGATTAACTCAATTTGAAAAAAGAATTCTGATTAAGATTAAAAAAATTTTCTAATTGAGTTAAGATAGAAAATCCAAGAGATTAGAAGAATACAATTAAGAAATATTTTTTTAATTTCAATTAAATTTCTTTCTTTAGGATGAGTTAATCACTTGATTTGATTATAAATATCTAATACTGTTCTTATGAATGTGGTAAATTCATTTATTAATTATTTTTAATTTTTAAACATTTAAAATTAAATTATTACATTTTTAATTTTTAAAAACTAACCCTGTAAATATTTTATTTTTATTTTAACAAAAAGTTAACAGATTCTATTAATTTAATGATTAAAATATTTAAACCTTTGAATTTAAGAATTAAAAATTTTATAATGTAAAATAAAAAGTTATAAATTTTAAATTTTTTTAAAGTGAGGGGTTAAACAATTTTTTTTTCTTTTGTGGAGGAGGAAGAGAGTCCAGGGGATTTGAATCTTGGTTAAATAAGTGAAACACTTATAAGTAACCACACGAGTTGCATATATCAAGGTTTGGGGGGTTAAATGATATTTAAGAGGGAATCAATTGAAAAGGAAAAAGGTATTCGAAGAAAGGTCCTTGGAAACTTCTACTTTGCCTTGCAGCTCGTGCATAATTCCAATAACTCGCAGTATGTGGAGCTAGGTGCCATTTCATTTTCTACGTTTCATTCATGAACGGATTAACCCCAAGTCAAAAATACTTCATAAAATACTATATATATTTTTTAATCAACTCCATAAAATACTAAAATGGAAGACAAATTACAGTTGGCATTTCTTTTAAAACAATAACTATAATGGAATTACAGTTGGCATGATATGAACCCTAACACTAATTAATTACAACTTTTATTTTATTCAATTAGACCCTTCTCTACTCACCGGTACTAGCTACTAGCTAGCCCACCCCACACTCATCCTAGAACGAGATTTGATCAACAAAAACCGCAGAGAATCGCGGGGTAAGCGCTATAAATTTCGTTCTTGCGGAAGTTCTCTGCATCATCGATCTCTCCCTAAGAGAAAACAAAGAAACAATATGGCTTTTGGTGCAGCTAAGGCCTTAGCGCTTTTGCAGCTCTCGCTGCTCTTTGTGGGGAGCTTCACTGCTGAGGTTGATGGCCTGGTTAATTCGGCTTTGCCGCCTCATGCAGCTGCTCATCCTCCTCACCACCATCGTTACCACCACAAACATCAC